TCCCTCTCCCTTGCCCCCTCCAGCAAATATACGATTTGGGGTACTATACTTAAAGGCAAAATAAAGTGTTACTTAGATACTTTTTAGACCTATTTTCACTTCATTTGCTAAGAAGAAATCCTTCAGGTGATGCATCCCTTTAATCCTCCTAAGTATTTAAGAAGTGGAAATTTGAAATGCATGAACATTCACCTTTTAAAAAGAAACCATTGTGTAACCTAGCCCATTGGCACCAGGACTGTGCAACTATTAAGAAGACTGCCCACAGTAAGGAACCTACTATACACTGGATTCAAAGAAACTAGAACCAAACAAAAAATACAAACAGTATTCATACACAAAACCAACCTACTTAAGCCAAAGTAAAGATACATCACAATAATGTTAGAAGTTCTTGCAGAAAGGATCCTCATCTTCTCTTTCCACTAATCAACTTGGAGCATATATTTCTCAAAACAAAAAAATAGGACTTGGTAGGCTGAAAAGATAGCCTGTATTGAGAAGTTACTCCTTTACCACTGCTGTCCATCAATGAAAAACTGAGTCTAGCCCATCAATCCTGGGTTTAACTCTGAGTACATAGAAAATTTTCAATACCTCTAAGAGGCAAGAATTCTTGTAAATAATATTTTTTATTGGATGAATGGCTTGGTAGCAGTCAACATAGGCAAGCTTTCAGATGTCATGCTACCTTTCCTCAGGACTCTGGGAGAGAAGCTGACACAGCAGAGCTAAGTAGCAAATGGAACAAAAGCTGGTGTAAAATGCCATATGTAAATAATGACACAATATAAGAGCAATTACCAGGGAGCAAATGAGCAAGAGAAACACAGTAAAAAAACCTGATAATGAAAGAACAAGATTGTTCAGGAGGGTCATTAATTGCCAGTGAAGTGCAGAAATCATCAAATATCATCAGGGAGGTTATAATTAGAGTCCTACATAATACACAGGGGCTAGTCCTCAATTTTGCAGGCAGAATGCAGGCCCAGGCATCCATTTCGCAAGCAGGGCGGGGTGGGCCCCTCCATGCCTCCGACTGGACAAGAGACCCCCGTGGCCCTGCCCCTTGCCAACTGGCCACTGTGACCGTCTGCTATGTGGCCCTGCCCCTCCCCAATGATTGGCTACAAGAACTGTGCCTCGTACAGCCCCACCCCTCACCACCAATTAGTGGAGAGGGGTAGGGCCACATACAAAGCAGCCCTTGAAGCCAATCAGCAGCGAGGGGCGGGGGTGGCAGCCATCTTGCCTGCAGCCCTTCAAGACGGCAGTCACCCTCCGAGGAGCCAGCATTTTCTTTTCAGTAATACCCCCTCCGCACCTGCAAATTCATGGGCAATGCTGGATTTCATAGAATCTGCAAAATCATGAATTTGGTAGGTCCCTAGTTAGACAATGACTTAATGGTCTCTTTTATGTCAAGTTCCTGATACTTAAGTGTCCAACAGGCTAATGAATTTCTGATTTCCATATTTGTCCTGGAAAAGGTGCTGGGTAGATTTCTTTTGAGCACAAGAACAGTGAGGTCAGACAGGGAGGGATTTTTCTGTGAAAAGGACAGACACTAGTGTGCGGGCCGGGAGCGATCCGGGCCCTTTTTCACGCCGCGCGGGCTGTGGCCAGCAGCCCGGGCACGCCGGGTCGGAGAGAACAGGCGACACGCTGGAATTAGGCACGGACGCTTAGCGGTTGATTAAAGATTATTTTACTTACACCGTAGATGGTTGCGGTGCAGGCAGGAAAACTTGCTTGCGTTGCAGTTACAAAACAAAAGAAAACACGAACAATCACGTGGAGTTTGCTAGGCTCCACGTAGACAGAGCTCCAGATGCCCTCGACAAGCGCGCCACAAAAACAGAGAACTCATAGATACGTCTTAAGAAAGGTTACCGCACAAAGACGGGAAGAGGTGGGCGGTGGATCAGGCCGCCAAACTCCTCTGAGTCTCACACAGGGTCTCTACTACCCTGCCGTGTACTCAGAGTCCCCACGAGAAGGAAGTGGAGTCCTCTTCAACTTGGGCGGAAACCGCTCAAGCCTCTTATAGCCAATCGCTAGCCGCCACGCGGG